GATGAAACTATAAATATTAAATCCGGTATGGATTTGAACTGAAACCATACACGTATGAATCGGTATGGCATAATTGGTTGGAACCATCCATACATAAAAAACATACATGATTTAATCATCTTTCCATTAATTCGCTAACCCGTATCCTTATCAAGTTCACGAGCGATGATCGTACTAATAAGTATTAATACAATTATTAGTTCCTAGTTATTTGGCCCCATTGGCCACGGCCAAATGCCAATATATGTTGAAATTTAATTAAAAGATTTTTTTTTTTGTGGCTTTTAAATTTAGCACAGCCTCTTTTGTACATCTTAAATCTTTAATTTGTGATTTATTCTGTCGATATTTCGTTTCTTTTTTTTTTAAAAAAAAAAAAAAAAAAAAAATTAAATTCTTTCAAATATCATGTTTTTAAAAACTGCATCTTACAATTCAACAGAAGAATATGATTCATTTTGGTATTATAATTTAAAGACGGAAAAACAATGTAAAACTCATTGTATTCTAATTATAATATTTCTTTTTAGCGTATTTTTTATAACATTATTATGTGTATGTAGTATTTATAAGGAAAATAAAGTAGTTTTTAACGAGGGAATTTTTTATTGTTGGGAATGTTGTTGGTATAGAAAGACATTTAATACGAACCACGGAAATAAATTCAGTTACCTAACCTTAGATTTAGAAAATCAAGTAGTATAATAGGTAAGATAAAGTTTAATTTTAAGCATGTGATTTGATTTGACGTAGCCTATTTGCACGTGATTAATATACAATTCACAATGATTTCGGCAAAATTACAAAGGAAATACCTACTTATAATACAGCATATATTTATATGGTTAGCATGCTCTATAAAAATCATGCATAGTTCCTGACTCGTAATTTCACGCCTCCTTCAAGACAATCCTTTTTCTTCAATAGTAAGAAGTTCGGATCTCATTTACCTGTATGACGCTATTCCATTTAGCATTTTTACATCAATCTCAGGTCTTTTCGTTATTAAAAGAAATAATGTAAACATTAGGAATAATTTTGAAAGCAAAATTTAAAATAAGCAGTATATTGTTTATAAATAAATCACAGTTTTATAATTTTCATTATGTGAACTCTCGAAATAAACAAAGGTGCTATAACAAATAATAGTGTTTTATGAACCACTTTTAACTCTTCTTCGTTAATTCGAGTGTTTTCTCACACGAGTTAAAATTCGAGAAATATCTACAAAGAATATTTGGCTGTAATTCTATATTGATTACCATAAACATTCGTGTAACAAATAAATATTGCTCACATTAACGTTAACCTTAAATTTTTTGCTTTTTTCTCATCAAGCAAGCATTCCTCTAAACAATTTGATGATATTCTAAGTGAAAGTGAGGATGAATTAGAGTATTCTGATCGAGAATACTTTCAATCAACCCATTCAAAAATATATTCTAATAAGAAATTCAAAGAGAGTAATGATGAATTATGGAACACCTGAGTCCTGAGATGCAATATACATCAATAACCTTATTAGATACATATGGGTCATGATCCTTCGAACCTCAGATTTCATTGTGCAGCGTTAAACGAAAAATACGATGTGAATTCCAAACTTTACTTCATGGCCAAGTTTTTGTGTTACAAATTAAGCATCATAATACGGGAGGTTGGCTGTTAAAAACTATTTACTAAAAAAAAAAGAATAAAATTAGCGAACAAACCCTATTGTATATTTATTTCTTACGAATGGTTACCTTTTTTAGGTGTTCTCCAAAAGTTTTTTTTGTATTAAAGGATCACAATATGTCCGAAATGCAATAGAAGTTACATGCACGATTAAAATGCAATGGAACAAATACGGAGTTTAGATTCAATGCAAATCAAGTGTTTATGCAGGTTGGTTTGTTTAATGAAAAGGTTACAACCTCCAACTTTTCACGACGATCGCGGGATCCAACTTTGAAAACTCCAACCCAAATTAAACCAACGAACAATTATTCATTCATTTCCCCATCAAATACGCGGTTTATCCCTTGGTTCCATCAAGATGTGTGAAACTGATGCGTAGTAAAATACAATTTGATAAAACTTGAATGAATTATAAATGAACAAAAATTCAATTTCGCGAGTGAAATTTTAAATGAGAGCATGAGGGTATATTGAAAAATAATTATAATTTTAAAAATACAATCTGTTACCTCTTACTCACAACAGTTACCTCCTACGAAGTATTCACAACAATTTGAAAATATTGACTCTTTCAGGCCTTGAATCTACAGAGGGTCGCCAAAAGTCTCTGAACACCACTTTTTAGGTGCGATTCAATATCGGCAATTTCATGTGACTTAGCAATTCTGCGGTCATATGACGTTTCGAACCTTGTTTACATGAATCGTACTTTAAAAATGCATTTCAAAATGGTGATGGTAGTTTTCAGGAGGATAATTTTCGGCCTCAATACGAAGCAGACGAAGAATTTTCATGCAGAAAATGATATGCACGTTCTTTCATGGCCCGCTCAATTCCAGACCCGACCAAGTACTGATTAATTAGTACGATATTTATTTATATGTCATTTTTAATAAATATATAATAAATTATTTAAATTTTAAAATTTTAAATGATTTATTGAGCCAAAAAGCGTTCGGAGACTTTTGGCGGCCCTCTGTATATTTAGATATATTCTTGCGGTTCCACATGATAAATTGTCGTGCGACCAGTGGGCGTTTAACCGAACCTTATAAACACAAAAAACAAAAATGTCATTTATGATTTTCCTTTTCTGGAATGATGAGATTTGAATATTTATAACATCCTTGATCTTTTTTTAGATTAATGCAAAATAAAAAAAAAAAAAAAAAAAATACAACCAATGTTCATTATTTGTGTTCGTTTTATACTACGCTTGGAGTCAAACAAAAGGTATATAAAGAAATGAAAAAAAAAAAAAAAAAAATTCAAAGGAATTTTTTCTTTTTCTTTTTTCTTGTGAAATGAAACGATATATCCTCTTCACTAGCTTTTACATATGTATCTTGATTACTACAACTTCCGCAGCAATTTGTTATGATAATCCTCATCGTAATGTGAATAAGTTGGTTAAAGTAGCATGTGAAGAGGAATATGAGATTTTTAAAAGGGATGCACCAAAATTGCCAGAAGATTCAATGTTTGAATTTACAATAGATTGCTTATCAACCGAGGTAATCTGCCAAAAAGTTACAAATGAATTTGTAAAGGCAGGAGAAGAAATTACAAAAACCTTAAAATTTAATACACCAGTTAAAGTAATCGCAGCATTTCATAATTTTTGCGACGTTCCAGAACGAAATGAAGCTTGTAAATCAATAATTGGTACGTATGAGATATACAATCAAGAATAATTTTATTTATCTTGTAAAATGCTAACCTTTGATATTACTTTAGGGCAAGCTGGTGCGACACGCTATATTTCGTTGAAAGATGATGATGGTATATATAGATTGTACCCTCAACCTTTAGTAAAACAATTCCAATTCGAGAAACATGCCAAATATTTTGAATTTGATATTTTTGCCGAATTCAACGCATTTATGCCTTTTTGGTTTGAGGGGGATCCAGAAATTCAACCTCAACAAGTTGATTTTAAATCGGTCGTGGTTCATGAATTGATTCATGGCTTGGGATTCTTTAATGCGTATTCACAATATCCTGGTTATAATGCTACAATACCCCTTCATATTAAACTTGATGAAGAAAATGGTTTTAATAACCTAGAAGAAACCAATTTCAACGGTATATTTGTGGAATTCGCGATGGATAAATATACCGTGTTACTTAAAGATGGAACTCCGATCTCCTATTTTTTTAAGCGATTAAATTCTTTCTTCAAAGAGTACAATACAACCAATATTAATACAACAGATTTCGTTAATTCACCTCAATTTAAAATTGCTAAAAAATTATATAAACTCTCCACCACACCCCTGACCATTGGAGTTTTACCAAAGGGAGCTGTCAATTATAAATCTGCCTTACCTTTAGAAACTTCCATCGAATTTAGACCAGGATCTACTTTAGGTCATCTTGATTTCTCTACATTTGAAAATACCTCCGACTTTTTGATGGTATATTCTGCAGAAACATGGATAGGATTAACGTCCCAACAACTGGTGGAGTCACATGGAAATTATCCTGGGGGATTAATTGGTCCACAATTGAAATTAGTTTTAGAAAATTTGGGGTATGTATATGATTATTATTACTAACACGATGAGTTATTATTAATTAACAAAAATAATTGTTTGTTAGGTATACAACTGTTGATAATCCAAATCCATACAAACCCTCACCTCTTTAATTTCATCACGTGACACGCAATCGGGAAACCCCTTACTCCCGGACGAAAATTTTAAACAATTCAAATTCATTATTTTTTTCTAATATTGTTCTCTTTCATCCACGAATCTTTATTACAAATGGTACATAAAAAATAACATAAATATTTACTCCTTGTATAAATACATGTATTTTATAATTATTTTGAATAAAATCTGCAGGAACAACCTCCTTTTTTTTTTATAAAAAAAAAATCCACTCTTTCCTTTTTTAAAAGGACCCGCTAAAAAATCGTTGAGCTTGTGCTACAAATTGGCTGCAATATTTGATACACAACATTTAGACTGATCTTATTGGACATTATATAGATACAAACAATTTTGTTAATCTTTAAGGGAATGACCCATTATACAATTACGGAAATTTAAAGTTTCAACTAAAATTCAAAATAATAAAATAATGAACGCTTCACTTGCTGGATAAGTTAAAAGAAATTTAATTTTTTATCAGCATTTTTCGTAAATGTAGTAAAAATATTATAAAATTGGTTGGTTTTGATTATATGTTTTATAATATATAATAAATTTTTGAAAGTTTTAATGAATTTATAATATTTTTTATAATGATTAAATTT